AAAAAAAAAAAAAAGTAAAACTGTCTTTATCCACAGATGGCACTGACCATTTGTATAGAAAATCCTATAGATTCTACCCAAAAGCTATTAATTAGTGAGTTTATTAGCAAGGCTGCCTGATCCAAGGTCAGTATACAAAAATCAATTGTATTTTTATACTAGCCACAATCAGAAGTAGAAATTTATAAATGCCATTAATAAGAGAAAAAAATATGAACACTTAGGGATAAATCTGATAAAAGATGTATAAGACGTACAGGGAAAACTACAAAGCACTGCTGAGAAAAATTAAAGAACTAAATAAATGGAGAGATATACCATATTCATGGATCAGAAGACAATATTGTTAAGATGTCAATTCTCCCCAAATTAAAGATGCAATGTAATCCCAATCAAAAGCCCCCGAGGCTTTTTTGTAGAAATTGAAAGCAGATTCTGAAATTCATATGGAAATGCAAAAGATCTAGAATAGCCAGTCACATTTTGAAAAAGAACAAAGTTGGAGGACTTATACTACCTGACTTAAAGACTTGTGGCAAAGGTACAATAATGGAGACAGTGTGGCACTGATGTAAAGATAAACAAATGGACAAATGGAACAGAATGCAAAGCCCAGAAATAGGCCCACACCATATACGGTCAACTGATTTCCAAGAACAGTCAAGTAATTCAGTAGAGAAAGGATACTCTTTTCTTTCACATGGTGCTGGAACAAATAGATATGCAAATGAAAAAAAAAGAAATGCATTTCATCTTGCTATATTAAAAAAAATCAATTCAAAGTAGACCATACACCTATTGTAAAACCTAAAACTATAAAATTCCTAGAAAAAAAAAGGCAGTAAATCTTTGTGGCTTTAGGTAGTCAAAGATTTCTAATCGGACTTCATTAAGAACCTCTGCTCTTTAAAGGACATTGTTAAGAAAACCAAAAATATAAGCCACAGATGGGGAGAAAATATTTCTAAAACATAAATATCTGACAAACATAAAAGGATTTTTTTTTAATTCTTAAAACTCAATAATAAAAGATGAACAACCCAATTAAAAATAGGTAGACAATTTGAACACATCCTTCATCAAAGACGACACGCTGATGACAAATAAGCACATGCAGAGATTCAGTCTTTGGGGAAATACATATTAAAACCACGATGAAATGCAACTACACACCTACTTGAATGTCTCAAATTAAAAAGACTTTCTATAGCACTCTTTGGTGAGGATCTGAAGCAATTGGGACACAAATTCTTCGGGTGGCGATGTAAAATTGCACAACTACTTTTGAAATGAGTCTGGCAGTTTCCTTAAAAGTTAAACATAATGGGGATATACGTATAGCTGATTCACTTTGTTATAAAGCAGAGACTAACACACCATTGTAAAGCACTTATATTCCAATAAAGATGTTTTAAAAAAAAGTTAAACATATGACTCAGTCATTCCACCGGTATTTACCTAAGAAAAATGAAAATGTATGTCCATACAAAGACTTGCACATGAATGTTCATGGCAGTTTTATTTGTAAAATACAAAATACGCATCAACAGGTGAATGGATGTGCAGATTGTGGCCAATTTATGCAAGGGAATACTATTCTGTAATGTAAGAGAATGAAATACTAATCCATGGAACAACGTGGATGAACCTTAAAATAGTTACACGGAGACAGAGGCCAGACCCCACCTCCCCAACTAAAGAGCACATACTGTATGATTCCATTTATACAGAAAAAAAAAACTAATTTATAGCAACAGAAAGCAGATCAGCAGCTATCTGGGGATGTGGGAGGGACAACAGTAAGATTTACAAAGAGACATGAAGAAAACTGTCGGGAGTAATGATTATGTTTATTATTTGGATTGTACTGATGGTTTCACAGATGTATAAACGTATCAAAGCTTACTAAAGCATGCACTTTACATATGTGCTATTTATGATGTCAACCACACCTCCATAAAGCTGTTTTTAAAAAAGTGGAACATCTAACACTGACATGAAAAATGTCTATCACACATATTAAGTTTTTTAAAAAGCTGTGGAATTATCTATATCATGATCTCATTTATGTAAAATATATGTGTGCTTACACTGAATATACAGTATGTATGTATAGAAAAAAAGCCTGAGGAAATGTATTGTTAATCTGTTTACAGTTTGAGATCGGAGAAACAATAGATACAGCTTTTCATTTTATATATCCCTATATTGTTTGAACTTTGTATAACAAACATGCGTTACTTCCGAAATTAACAAAGAGAAGAAATTAGCAGTTTTAAAAGCCACTGGGCAAGATGAACTTGAAGGTAAAAGCCAAAATCACTTCTTTGTACAGCAGAAACTAACAACACTGTAAGGCAACTATACTCCAATAAAGAAAAAAGTAAAAAATAAAACAAATTGACTTATATATGAAAAAAATGGAGTCTTTTTCTTTGGAGAATGATCCCCAGTCGTGGAGAACAGGGAGGGGGCACATGCCTCAGAGTCACCTGGACTGATCAGACTCAGAACTGCTCTGTCCCTCTCCCAGGAGAGAATCCCTACTTCCATGAGCTACCTGGATAGACAACAGCATTTGTCTAACCTTCAGGTACCCTGAGGCACAAAAGCGCCAAGCGCTCTCAAAGACCAACAGTTTTACCTCCGATTTTCAGTGGGTATAAGGAATATCCCCAAGGCTATGGTAAAAAAAAAATCTGACAATGTTTCTGAGCCCACGCTCTTGGGGTATTTAGTACCTTGGATAATTTTCTGCTGCTGTTCCCGGATTTCATCAAAACCCAAGCCTCTGGTCTCCTCCGGCTCCTCGAAGAGCCACGGGTTGGGTCCTCCTCGCTTGGCCCCTCCAGTCATCAGGCTGGACCTGAGAACAAGATTACAGGAATTACATAACTCAAAAAATATAGCTCTGCTGCAAATCACTCCCACAAGTGCCGAAGGGGCTAGCCTCGCCTGCTTTGAAAATTCAATTCGACTGCAATTTATTGCACGCTTAGTTTATGCCAGCAACTGTGTTCAGTGCTGGAAGAGATACGCAAATGAATAAGGCCCAAGCCTGGTCCCCAGGAGAATTACAGCCTGTAAAGGAGACTGTGGCAGCGCATAATAGTTTTACTAATCCTCCATGAGACATGTGAGTCAATAATCATAAATGAAGGTCTTAAATTTCAAAACACAAGGCCAAATGGAAGTGGCCTTTCTATTAGGACAAAGTCTCACAGGTGGCACCAAAAGCACAAATATTATTTCTCGAGAAGATATAATGTTGCCACTACAGGTTATAGCATTAAAAATGACCACTGACTTTCTTATTTCGTATTTGGCTGCTCAGATAGAAACACGTGCAGAGTTTCAAAACCAAGTCTATGAATATAGCGTAGCATTTATAACACAAATTCTGAATTATCCATCCTAATCTTGACTCCCTCTCATAACCCATACGCTCCTTCTGCACCAGACATACTGGGCTCCTTGCTGGCCAAGGAACACAGAACACACACTTCTGGCCTCAGTCCCATGTTTACAGGATCCTTCTCACTCCAGGTATCTCCCCTTCTGCCTCCACCTGCCCACATTCTGTCCAAACTATGAGGAGCATCTAGTGGATGAAACCATATCCGACCATTTCTACCCAGATGGGAACAGCCACTCACTCTATAGTATGACTCATAGGATTTTTAAAATGATGGTAATGAGGGGCTTCCCTGGTGGCGCAGTGGTTAAGAATCCACCTGCCAATGCAGGGGACACGGGTTCGAGCCCTGGTCCGGGAGGATTCCACATGCCACGGAGCAACTAAGCCCGTGCGCCACAACTACTGAGCCTGTGCTCTAGAGCCCGCGAGCCACAACTACTGAAGC